GAGAAAGAAGATAAATTACTGAGTTAATCTTACTTTACTGAAAAAGAAAAGCCTTAATCATGTTCTTAGGAGTCCTGTGACAGAAGTACAAATAATACTTTAAATACTTAATTGATTTAATAAAAATTAGTGAACTTGCTTATTGCTGTGTGTTATCTCCTAACCATAATATTTTAAAAAGAGAAGAAAAGAGAGAAGGGGAGGGTTAGGAGCGATGGGTGACGATGTCATCAGGCACTTTGTTTTCATATATTGTTTTGTAGAATGGCAACTTCTTTGTACAACTACTTAAAGACAAAAAATTTAAAAAAGAGTCATGACAAGTATTTGCTGTGAATATGCAAAAAAGAATGAATTTTGTAGAAAAAAGGTGAACTGATGTGTGTCATACTCAGCTTGCTTGGTTGTTTCCTAAATGGTCGGCAGCATTTCTTTTTTCATTTTCTGTTTCTTTTAACTGTCTGTCCTGGCACTTGAACTCAGGGCCTGGGCACTGTCCCTGAGCTGTTTTGCTCAAGGCTAGCACTGTACCATTTGAGCCACAGTGCCACTTCCAGCTTTTTGGTGGTTAATTAGCGATAAGAGTCTCAAGGACTTTTCTGCCTGGCTGGCTTCAAACTGAGATCCTCTGAGCTCAGCTCCCTGAGAGCTAGGATTACAGGCATAAGTCACCAGCACCTGGCTAGCATTTTTTTTCTTAAATGTTTATTGTTGTTATAAAGGTGCTGTATAAAGGGATTACAGTTACATAAGTCAGGTAAAGAGTACATTTCTTTTTGGACAGTATCACTCCTTCCCTTGCTCTCTCCCAGTTTTTTCCTCTTGTCTTCATAAGTTGAATAATTCATTTTCAACATAATGAATACCCTTGCTACTTTCGTTCACCCTTTGTTCTTCCATTTCTGTGTCCCCCCCAACCCTCCCAAAGAAGACAAAAACAATAAAGATAAAACCTCTTGTATCCATTTCCTGAAGTTCATTTCAATAAATACTATTTTATATGATCAGAGGCACAGAGACCTTTGTGTTCCTTTCCTAAGAGTATCCTCCTTTGGTCTTTCTGTGTGTGAATGCCTAGAGTCTTGTGTAATTTATCATGTCCTGGGGTATTTTAGATCTAGTTTCTGCATATGAGTGAGCTTTTTGAGCTTGGCTCACCTCACTAAACATGATTTGTGCTAGATCTATCCATTTCCCTGCAGCTGATATAATCCTATTCTTTCTGGTGGCTGTGTAAAATTCCATTGTGTATAGGTACCATATTTTTTGGATCCACTCATTTATTGTAGGACAGCTGGGCTCTTGCCATAGTTTGATTATTGTGAATAGTGAGGCAGTGAACATGGGTGTGCAAGCATCTTTATAGTATTCTGGCTTGTGAGGTTCTGGGTAGATGTCCAGGAGTGGTACGGCTGGGTTGTAGGGAAGGCTTGTGTTTAGTTTTTTGAGGAACCTCCAGCCTGCTGTCCAGAGTGGTGGTCCTAGTTTACATTCCCACCAGCAGTGCACTAGGGCTCCTTTTCCTCCACGTCCTCACTAACATTTGTTGTTCAAGTTCATGGTCCTTGCTCAATCTAACTGGGGTGAGATGGAATCTCAGTGGTGTTTTGAATTGCATTTCCTTCATGGCCAGGGATGATAAGCATTTCCTCATGTGTTTCTTTCCAGCTAGCATTTCTTAATAAAGACGTGGACTGCATTGAGTTGCTGCCTGACATTGGAAGCTTTCTCAGCAGTTCTCAACCTCTCACCCAGAAAATTAGCAGAAAATTGGCCTAACTTTGCCAAGTCTGATTGAATATCCAGAGTAATCCTCAGGGAGCAGAAAATCTGGAGTTCATGTAAAGTTATAAAGTTGGATTCTTCTCTTCAGGCCCCTCTTGTTTCTTCTTTGCCGTACTTGTGAAAAGTTGCTACAAAGATGTGTCCAGATGTGGCCTGTCACCACCAGATGTGGCCTGTCACCGCTAAGCTGAAACTAAGTTAATCCATTCAAAACTATGGATGCTCAGGATTCTAATAGGTTCCCCAGTGCTGCTGAGGAACAGGGTTCATTTACCGAAGAGATTGGGTATTTTACAGCAGAGGATTAAACCAAGGCAGGTGTCTCCATAGACCCTTGCTCACTGCCCTGAAAGGAGAGTGTCTGGGATAAAGGAATGGTGGGGTGGAGGAAGGGTGAAATGGGATGCCAGCCCCTCCTGAGCTCAGCGCTGTAGGCAGTCAGGGAGATCTGAGGGCCAGCCGAGGGCTGTAAGGAACTTGCAAGCCCATTTTCTCCAGTGGTAACTGACTGTACGTTGTGGTTGACTAAAAGGATATTTTAAATTTCCATCGAAACCCATTAATTCTGTCAAGTATAAGAAAAGATCATGTTTTTCCATGGTGATTTTCCTTTATGGCCCTATGCTTTTCTATCAATTTATTAACAGAACAACTTTTTAAAAATAGTACATTGAGATTATATCAAGGCATTCTCAGGGCTGGGAAGGTGGCTCAGTGGTAGAGTGCTTGCCTTGCATGCCTGAGGCCCTGGGTTCGATTCCTCAGCACCACATAAACAGAAAGAAAAAAGCGGGAAGTGGCCCTGTGGCTCAAGTGGTAGAGCACTAGCCTTGAGCTGAAGAGCTGAGGGATAGCGCCCAGGCCCAGAGTTCAGGTCCCACAACCGGACCCCCCCCCCCCCCAAAAAAAAAGGCATTCACATCTTGTCAACTCTTACTTTGGTAAAATTGCCACATAAACATACAGAAGCATAATTATCCATATGACATGTTTGAGTATTTTTGAGTGATCTATAGTGGAATTCACATTTATTTATATAATTTGCCTGAAGATATAATCATTTGGTATTACTTTTATAATTGATTAACTGAATATGACATGTTTTAAATGATTTATTCACTTGTATGTAATGTTTTGGTTTTGTACTGGGCTGGGGGCTTGAACCCAGGGCCTGGACTGTCCTTGAACTTTTTCACTTCAGGCTAGCTCTCTACCACTGAAGTCATAGCTTCACTTCCAGTTTTCTGGTAGTTAATTGGAGATAAGAGTTCTGTGGACTTTTCCTGCCCTGGCTAACTGTGGACCTTGAGCCTCAGATCTCAATCTGATGTTCTGGGGGTGATTTTCTAGTAAATAGGTTCAGAGCATGGTGTCTCTGATACTCCATGTCCTTTTATACCTGGGGAGGGCCAGACAGACTGTGTTACTCAGTTTTATTGTAGGCTTTCCAAAGTTTGTTCTTTTTGTTGTTGTTGGTCTTGGAGCTTGACCTTGGGGCCTGGGTGCTGTCCTTGAGCTTTTGCACTCAAGCCTACTAGTACTCTACCACTGAAAGCCACAGCTCCACTTCTGGTTTTCTGGTGGTTAATTGGAGATAAGAGTCTCATGGACTTTCTTGCCCAGGCTGGCTTTGAACCACCGGATCATTAGATCTCAGTTTCTTAAGTATCTAGGATTATAGGCATGAGTGTTTTTTATTTTTTTTGTCCATCATGGGGCTTGAACTCTGGGCCTGGGCACTGTCCCTCAACTCTTCAGTTCAAGGCTAGTGCTCTACCACTTGAGCCACAGCACCACTTCCAGTTTTCTGGTGGTTTATTAGAGATAAGAGTTTCACGGACTTTCCTGCCAGGCTGGCTTTGAACCATGATCCTCAGATCTAAGTCTCCTGAGTAGCTAGGATTACAGGCGTGAGCCACGGTGCTCAGCTCTTTTTTTTTTTTTAACACTAAATAATCAACTATGTTATCCTTTTAAAATGCATTTGGTATATTCAGATTATCTTAATAAAAAAAGAATCATATTACCAAAATATTTTACTACTTCTACTTAGAACTAAGTCCTTCAATGAATTATACTAAGTAAAAGGAAAGCATTGTCAGAGATAATGAAAATAAAAGCTTGTGTATTTGTAAAATAATGTTTTAGCTTCAGAAATACCTTGCAAATAGCAAACATTGTTATCATATTTATAGATTCTTTTATTTTCTCCGTGATTCTGGGCTTTGAACTCAGGTCTCTGCCTTGCTAGGTAAACGCTCATACACTGGACCCATGCCTCTTTATTCTTTTTTAAAGCTTAATGTTTTGGGCTAGGCTTGAACTGTTGTTCTCCTACCTCTACCTCCCTTTTACTTTTATAAAATATTATTATTTTTGTGGCGTGTTGGTTCTGGGGCTTGAACTCAGGTCTTCACAGCTCTTGTCTTTTTTCACTCAATGCTGGAGCTCTACTACTTGAGCCACAGTTCCACTTCCAGCTTTTTGTTTATCAATGCTACATAAGAGTCTCTTGGCTTTGTCTGCTCGAGCTGACTTTAAACCATGATTCTCGGATCTCAGCCCCCTGAGTGGCTAGGATACAGCTGTGACCCACCACCAGTGCTTGTCTTGGTTTTATAAGTTTGTAACTGGGATTTTAAATGGAAGTTTGAGGGGATGTTTTGGTATATTTCCTGAGCACTGTATTTGATTAAGTATTTACCATACTTACATTTTTATTTAAAGTTAAAACCAATCCTTTTTTGTGAGTATAGTATAAATAGAAAATTCAAGGTTCAAAGTTCAAAGTCAGAATTGAGAAGTGACTTAGGGCTGGCAGATTGGCTCAGTTATTAATTACCCAAGCAAGTGTCCCTAAATTCAAACTCGAGTGTCACAAAAACCACCTCTGCCACCACCAAAAAACAGGTTCAAGATGACCTTCTTTCTTCAGCTTTGGTAATCTTAAAAAAGTGAGTAAGAATGCTTTTTAAGAACACGACCAAGTTATTAGTTCCATTTGACCTGATTTCATACATCACGAAAGCCATTAAAAGATCAAAGTATTTAATTTTATAATGGAAACAAGTGAGCCTGGTCAACTATGTTTCTGTGTTTAATGGAAAAATTAGACATTATGAGGAAAGCATCTTGACACTTGAGAGTATTTTAGTACACTGTGGCTTTCGGTGTCTTTCTCTGTCTCTTTTTAACGATGTGTCCATTATTTGCAGATCCTGTGGTATTGTGGAAATTTCCAGAGGACTTTGGAGACCAGGTTGGGAACACATAATTACAAAAAACTTTTAAGTTGGAATATCATGATTGTTATTACTGCTAACTGCTGCTGCTGCTTTTGCTCGTGAACAGCTGTAATTACTTTTCCTGATCAGCCATGAGGGGAAGAGAACACACTGGCGGCACAGTGTGTGGGAGCATCCACGTGCGCTTGTGAAGAGAATCTTCACGTTGTGAGCGAAGGCACTGTCCGCTCAGCCGAGGAAGCAGCACCATGAAAGTTAGGGCGAGCGGGTTTCTGATAGTTTTCATAGCTTCTTTCAGAGTCACATGTTACCAGACAAGACAAAAAAAATAGTATTCTGTTTTCTGTGTATTCTTATATTTAAGAATATACCAATCCTCTAACACATTTCGGAGGTATAAAGATCAAAACAAATTTAATCATCGTCTCTGTCACATTGATTTGTGTTAAGACGCAATGAGTTTATGATCTCTGCTATCAAATGAATCCTTCTGTCACCCGTAATTTCCAGTGCCATAAGCTTACATAGCTATACATACACAGAAGCCTTCAGCATCTCTTAAGTCTCAAGAATATAAAGGAGTCCAGAGGTTTAAAATAAAGGAAGACAAATTTGCATACGTAACATTAACATTTTTCTGCTTTATTGGCTTAAAATAGATTTGGTCAATGCAAACTGTTTCATGATTTAAAATTGAGGGTCATGAATACCTGGGGATTTTATCCTCTTTTAGTTATAAACTCAGTGTGCTTCCTAAACCATGCAGAACATCCAGTAGGCATTACTGTATACAGAACACAGAGTTGCGTACATTTTTTTAGGCTAAAAGCTTACGGGAAAATGTATTCTTTTCATTTGTTTTAGAGCAAAATGTTTTGAAAGACAAAAGAACATGTCAGTTTATATTCTTTTGGTATTATTGTTGTCTGTGTAGTAATTACACCTTTACCGTAGTAATTACACCTTTTCACCTAAGTAGACAACATTTGAATGGACATTTGCACTTCGTTTATTAATAATAGTAAGGTAGTTCTTACTACTATTGGCAGTCCGGGGTGTGAACTCAGAGCTTCGGCTTCAGTGAGGCGCAGAGCTTACTGCTTGAGCCATGCTCCTAGCACGTTTCCTCAGCTTATTTTTGAGATGAAGGTCTCACCTTCATCCTGGGCCGACCTGAACCACCATCCTCCTGTTTCCACTTGTCACTTGTTACCTGGAGGACCGGTGCGCCCCCCCCCCCCCCCCCCCCCCCCCCCGCCTGGCTCTTTCTATTGAGATGGAGTCCTGGGAAGATCTGGAACTGAGAGTCTCTTCATCTGAGCCCCCACCCAGCTGGGGGGACAGGTGCCCCTGCCGCGCTCAGCTCTGTTGGGAGGGATGGGGTCTTGTGAAGCTTTTGCTCCAGTTGGCTTGGAAGCCATGATCCTCTTGATCTCAGCCTCTTGAGTAGTTAGGATCACAGGGGGAAGCCAGCAGCACCTGGCTGAAATGTTCATTTTATAAGATCAAATATTGTGTCATGATTCTGGAACATATATACACCTGTGAAAACACAAGCTCTAGAACAGTAGATTACAACGTTGGTTGTACTGAATTAACATTTGTTAAGTCACAGGACACATTTTTTTTATTAAACCCAAATCATAAAACTTGAAGTGAGTTAAAGACATAAAGTCTTATTGACTAAGTTTTGGTGTTCTATTGAGATATACTAATCTGGTAAATAGATAATACAGAAGGAGAGGAGAGTCGAATCAACTTAGAAAAATCACATTTTTAAAAAGGTTTTTAGAGTTATTTTTGATGATTATGTCAAGCATGAAAAAAACTTCTAAAAACGGAATGAATTGTTTTAACCTAGCTTGCTGTCGCGTAGCTTTAGCTGTCCTAAGAACGTAGAAAGTATTTCTTGAGTGCCCCTTCGGAGGTGCTAGCTGCCTGGGCCGTGAAGCGCTGGCAACGCTGCCTCCAGCCTCAGGGCAGCGGGGTTTCGAGGGAGCTGGGGGAGAGTGCCTGGACAGAGATTCTGATCCCTCCATCTTTGAACCCTGAGCCTGCTCCTCCCAATCAGATCGAATGGAGGGCATCTACATACAGTTAGGGTCACTGAGTGTGACAGCCCACCATATTCTGTAGGAAAGACAGACCGACAAAATTATCTTATGATTTGAAGTTTCGGGAATTTTTTTTTTTTTTTTTGGTCCAATCGTGGGGCTGAACTCTGGGCCTGGGCGCTGTCCCTCAGCCCTTCAGTCCAAGGCTAGCACTCTACCACTTGAGCACAGCACCACTTCCGGCTTTTTTTTTTCTGCTTATGTGGTGCTGAGGAATCGAACCCAGGGCCTCATGCATGCAAGACAAGCACTCTACCACTCAGCCACCTTCCCAGCCCTGATTTGAAGTTTCGGGAGAGTGGAAACGAGAGATTTTAGATGGTTGCCTTTCAATCAAGACTTACATAGGGCTTATAATGATGTAGATTCAAGGTGCAACCTCACCTGGTCAGGTATCGGAATGCTGTCTGCTACCATGATGGTGTTCTCTGCCATGCACAAGTCAGGGATGGCCTCACGGCGTTTTCTGTAGGTCAGAGTTGAGGTCTGTGCTTAGCACTGGAGGAGGTGTTGAGGAAATGAGGAGGAAGACTACGTTTCCTCTATCCCCTCCCTGCCTTATCTCAGGTCTTGTTTCTTTTGATGGCGTTTCTTCTTTTTACTTCTCCTTTCTATTCTGTTTCTTCTTTGTCAGTTTGAAAATTAATTCTTTCGTGTGTGTGTGTGTGTGTGTGTATGTGTGTGTGTGTGTGTGTGTGTGTGTGTGTATGTGTGTGTGTGCATGTGTGCGTTCATGTGTGTGTGTGTATGTATGTGTGTTTGTGTGTGTATGTGCATGTGTGTGTGCATATGTGTGTGTGTATGTGTGTGTTTGTGCGTGCGTGTGTGTGTGTGTGTGTGTGTGTGTGTGTGTTCCAGTACCGGGCTTGAACTCAGGGACTCATATTGTTGTTTGGGGTTTGCTCAAGGCTGGTGCTCTAACACCTGAGCAATACCTTCACTTCCGCATTTTGCTAGTTCATGGGGGATAAGAGGCTCACTTCCTGGGCCGGCTCAAACTGTGATATTCAGATCTCAACCTCTGGAGCAGCGAGGATTATAGGCATGCCCCACTGAGTGTGGCAAGAATTAATTCTTCAATGGCTTTCCTTCCTCCCTTCTTCCCTCCCTACTTCCCTCTCTCTCCTTTCTTTTCTCCCCACCTTTCTTCTTTCCTGTCTTCCTCCCTCCTTCCCTTTCTCTCTCTCCCTCCCTGTTTCTTTCATTTGTTCATTTTTTTTTGTTATCTTGCTTGGGTTTTATTCTGTCATTTTTAAACTACCAGTTGACTGTTTTATAGTAAAAAGATCATCAATTGCATTCTATATTAACTATTGACTTTCCACGTGGAAAGAATGAAATATCTTCACTGAGTTTTTTTTTTTTTTTATGCAAAAGCAAATTTTTATTTCACCTCTCCTGAGAGTGTATATATATACATTCTATGTGACCACATTTCTAAGGCAGATTGATTTCTTAATTTTTTTTGGGGGGGGGGGGTTGGTCATGGGTACTCTACCAGTTGAGCCATACCACCAATTCTGGCTTTTTCTGCTTATGATGTGCTGAAGAATCAAACCCAGGGCCTCATGCATGCAAGGCAAAGCACTGTACCACTGAGCTACCTTCCCAGCCCTAATTTCTTAATTTTTGTTAAAATAAAATTTATAAATAAAGATAATTGGTAAATGTAAGAGGCTTTATAATCATATCACAGCTACTTACTATGTTTCATATTTTAAAAACTTTTCAGTGGCCTATTTTAATAATCTTAAATATCAGTTGTCAGACTATGTAGCAGGCACAACATTATGTTTTTGTTAAGTTATCTGTATATAGAAAAGAAGAATGACAATTCAAAGTATTATTTATTATGTATACATAGGAAAGTACATAAAAATAAAATCTAAGATCAGGCTCATAGTTTACAATTTTATGTGTTCACCTTCATGTGGAGATTTGTTTCCCTTTGCAGCAGCAGTGCTAGAAGCTCACTGGAAGAAATAGTCACATTCTTATTTTTCATACATGCTTCTTGTATATGTCATATTATTAACACTTAAAATATTGTGGCAAGTAAGGAAACTAACCTGGATAAAACAGTTGATAGTTTAGAAACTTGCCTGATGGCTGAGGAAGTTCATTGTATCAAATGCCCCTTGAAAAGCTTGTTCTTAAATGTTTTAGAAAAAATTATGTTTGAAAAGCCCTGAATAACAATATTCCTTTTCTGTTGAATGATCAAAAGCTTACTTTAGTGAGCTCTCAGAGGTCACATTTCTGTATTTATTCTTGTCAGTGGACTTATTTTTTTTTTTCTATGAAATGCTTTAGACCAAATCTAGAAGTCCTAGTTTCCTTAGCAATGTGTAAAAATCTAACAGTAAGACAGGACACAGATGAAAAGAAACAAATGTGAACTTGGGCTTTAATTCTATAAACAGTGGAAAGATGTGTTTTCCAAGATAATAGTATGCGTGCAGGTCTCACACAGAAGGAGAACACTAACCCAACATCCTATTATGGGAAATGAAGGTCTCTGTGATGGTTCAGCCTTTTACACTTTCAATTCTTTCTTTTGGTGTAAAAAGAAATTAAAAGTAGCTAAAACTGAAAGAGTATGGAAGCAGTAAGCATAACCCATGGAAATAAAGTCTTCACACTGGCCTGGAGTCCTTCATTCACCTGAAGTATGAATTCGTTCGCAGGCTTACTGTAACTGTAAGTAAGCTGTTTTAAAAAGGACTTTTTGGGGAATTTCTTTTTTTAAAGAGTTTATGTGGAGTTGAATTTGGGAGCTAGACGAACGAGCAACTCTCTACTTACTGTTCCATTTCACCTTTGTGTTGGGTGGTTTCTATTTTCTCTCCCCTCCTCAGTACCTTATTAGCAGATGAGATTTTTAAGGGAGGTGTTGAGAG